TTTTCACCCAACTTTCAATTTCTACTGACAATCCATAGGTCATTACTTTGTGGTTTTTACGCCTAAAATAACAACATGTAGTATGTTGAGCTAGAAATAACTTGTTGCCTGTGATCTATATGTATAGGAAACATTAATGGATTCCTCCTACTAGTCACAGCTACCTGAAAAGCAGTGAATGTTCTGAACATGAGACAAAACTGAAGAATATAGGAAACTGTTTTTGCATAGGTGTGTGATACCATACCAATATGAAGTATCACAGAGAGTTTGGGCTAATCCTCCTCATTTCAACCTATAGCACTTGCTAACCACTAGATGGCACCATTTCTTTTTTGTTTCCTTTTCTGTTTTTGCTTTCTTCTATTTTTTCCAAGAGGAAACAGTCCTCATAAGAATGCTGGCAATAAAAATGATTTTTTGTTCACTGAGCTGCTTTAACAAACTTAACAGTCTTCATATTCTCTGAAGAGGCACAGCATGATCTATCTAATTTCCAAATATTGAAGGACTGCAGAATGTACAACAACATAGTCTACATCTCTGCTGACCATGAGGAAATTTGAAGAATTCATATTCTCTACTGCTGAATTCATACATGATTCTGTGGATCTTTTTTTTTTCCCCAGTGATCTTCATCTCCCCTCTTCCCCCTTATACTGCATTTTAACTGGAGTTGGAGCACCCTCTTCACCCCATATAACCAGCCAACTTCCAAGATCCTTCCAAGAGCCTTTACAGCTCTTAGCTTCATTCCTTCCTCTCTATTCCTATTGTCAGAACTTAATACAGAACTAAAAATCTCACTCCAAGTTTATTCCAGTTAGAGTTCTTTTCCTTCAATCTGTTCTTCACTTGGAGATGCAATTAATATTCTCAAAACACTACTTCATCATGACATTGTACAATTTTTTTAAGTAATCCCTTATGCCTAACATAGATCTCAAACTCACAACCCCAGGATCAAGAGTTGCATGATCTACCGACTGAGCCAGTCAGGCGCCCCATGACATTGTACTGTTAATGACATTATATTTACCCTCCAACAGTGTTTTAGTCTAAGCTGTCACCATGACATCAAATTCTTTCAGTTGTCCTTTGACTAACCAATATGATCTTCTCCCACTACCTAACATAAAAACTTTCCAGTTGGGGCGCTTGGGTGGCTCAGTCATTAACCGTCTGCCTTCGGCTCAGGTCATGATCCCAGGGTCCTGGGATCAAGCCCCGCATCGGGCTCCCTGCTCAGCAGGAAGCCTGTTTCTCCCTCTCCCACTCCCCCTGCTTGTGTTCTCTCTCTCTGTGTGTCTCTCTCTGTCAAATAAATAAATAAAATCTTAAAAAAATAAAAAAACTTTCCAGCTAATCCACATAATGCTTTGCAAAACACGATTCTAACTATGAGGATAGGTTTTGGTTTGTTTGCTTGCCTGCTTGCTTAGTGGTTGGCTCATGGCCAATGTTATATATTGATTAAGAGTGAGGATTTCTGGAACCAGGCTACCAGGGTTGATATTCTAGCTTTGTCATATACTAGTTTTATTTTTTTGTATTTTTTTAAGTGCTCTCTATCCCCAATGTTGGGCTCAAACTCATGACCCCAAGATTAAGAGCCATATGCACTACCTACCAACTGAGCCAGCCAGGAGCCCCCACACACTAGTTTTATAGTTTAAGGTAAGTTAGTTCATGTCTCAGTGCTTCCGTGCCCTCGTTTATGAAATGGAGATTAAAAACAGTATCTAGGGGCATCTGGGTGGCTCAGTCATTAGGCATCTGCCTTTGGCTCAGGTCATGGTCCCAGGGTCCTGGGATCAAATCCCGCATCAGGCTCCCTGCTCCGCGGGAAGCCTGCTTCTCCCTCTCCCACTCCCCCTGCTTGTGTTCTCTCTCTCGATGTGTCTCTCTCTGTCAAAAAAATAAATAAAATCTTTAAAAAAAAAATAAATAATAATTAAAAAAAAAAAAAAACAGTATCTACCAGGAAACCTGGATGACTCAGTCGGTTAAGCATCTGCCTTCAGCTCAGGTCATGATCCCAGGGTCCTGAGATCCAGCCTTGAGTTGGCCTCCCTGATCAGCAGGGAGTCTGCTTTGGAAGCAGCCAATAACGTGTTGACTTACTACAAAGATCACACAACATTCCTTTACTTATTACAAAGAATCATGCCTTTGAATAAATCATTAAATTCTGCTTATTTATGCAAGATGACTTACTATCAGCCAGTTCCTATAATATTGCCCAGACTGTTAATGTCAACATGATTTAGCAGATTCTGTCTGTACTCAAAGACACACACCTTGGGTTTTGGAAACACAACAGTGGCAAAACAAAACAAAACAAAAAACTATAATACATTCTTAGAGAAACAAACAGAATTCATCCACGATTATAGACACTGGACATACCATAAAATAATATATTCACTTTTCCCTACATTCTGATTTCCCCAAACCATCCAGAACATCCACTTCAGTTTTTTCTTAATTACTGTTGGACAGCTCCTTCCCGTGCCTTCTCAATCTGAGAATGGAACTGTGAGTCTGGGTTTCAGTGTGGCAGGGATGACAGGAAGCAATGTCGAGGCAGTATGGATGGTTTTGCCAATTCTTTAACAATGCAGTGGCGGTCATAGGCAATAATTAACTTCAAATCCCTACCCCAGAGATGGCAAGACCCCAGAGAGAACTAAGAATGGGACCAGAGATGGGCAAGGGCTTTTCAGTCAAGGTGGATTTAACTTCATAAAAATAAATTTATAAAAAATAAGGGGCGCCTGGGTGGCTCAGTCGTTAAGCATCTGCCTTCGGCTCAGGTCATGATCCCAGGGTCCTGGGATCCAGCCCCACATCGGGCTCCCTGCTCAGCAGGAAGTCTGCTTCTCCCTCTCCGCTCCCCCTGCTTGTGTTCCCTCTCTCACTGTGTCTCTCTCTGTCAAATAAAATCTTTAAAAAAAAATAATAATAATAATCTGAATAATAAAAGATAACCAGAAACAAAGACAAAAGATAGATTGAAGATAACAGAATGTATATATCCAAAATATATAATGAGTGTCTACAAATCAGTGAGAAAATTACCAATGCCCAGTTTAAAACTGGACAAAGGATAGGAACAAGGCTTTCACAGAGCAAACTATATAAATAATCAACATATGAAAAAATATTCAACCTCACTTAAAATTAGGGAAAAGCCAATTTAAACAGAGATAATATTTTCAACTTCACGCTGGTGGAAAAAAACACTAAAGAGAAAGCGTTGGGAAAGGATTGGGGAAACAGTCCTTTACATACGGTATTGGTTGGTTGCAAATTCCAGGGAAATTTATGAAGAAATGATATTTCAAAGTTTTATAGTTTCAGTAATTCTACCTCTATAAATCTCTCCTAGAGAAATCTGAACCTGTCTGCAAAGTTACATTTACAAAAAAATCTTTTCTGCCACATTGTTGGTAATGACAAAAAAAAAATTAGAAAGAGCCCAAATTTCCATCAATTCAAGAGTCATACTCTGGAAAGCTGGGCCCCCATTAACCAGAATTAACTAGATCAACATGCAATGGTAATAAAAGGTTTTAAGATACATTTTAACCTCCATTGGTAGTATCCTTTATATTTTATATTTTAAAACATGCATACCAAAGCACCTGGGTGGCTCAGTCGGTTAAGCATCCGAATCTTATTTTCAGCTCAGGTAATGATCAGGGTCTTGAGATCAAGCCCCAAGTTGGGCTCTGTGCTGGGCATGGATTAAGATTCTCTCTCTCCCTCTGCCCCTCCCCCACCTCCACCTCCGTGGGAGTTCAAGCACTGTCTCTCTCTCTAAAAAAAAACAAAAACAAAAACAAAAAACATGCAGACCCATGATATAGAAATTCTGTCCTACAAGATTCTGTCCTAAAAAAACACAAAAAGCACAGACTTCTGATCAATAGTTCCCAAACTACTTTCAAATACAAAAAAAATATGTCCAAAAGAAAAGAAATCTGTCAAAACCAGCAGATTTTTAAGAACTCATGATTCCCTCACCCACCTCTGTTCTGCAGAGGACAAACCTAACTTTGGCCTCAAATGTTGTCTCTCAACTACAAGGTCTGATGAGGTCATTTTAAAAATACATTCAAAGGAAACTGAACCCTTAGGTGAAAAACCTCAGTAAATCACTTCCACAAAATAGACATTAATGAAGAACTTAGGATGAATTACAGTGGACAGATGTGAAATCTCATTCTCTGCGTGTTCTTAAAATTATAACATTCCCACATATATCTGGAGTCATTTAAATATTTGGCATTTGTGTAGTAAACACTGAAAGAGAGAAAGACAAAAAGAGGGAGGTTACTTCCAACTAGGTATTGCTATAATTTTCCCTCAAAGGAGCTACTATTTCCTTTCTAAATACACAAGCTCTTCTTGTTTGAGTCTGAAACTGGAAGTTCCCTGGTTGAATTGTTAACACATTTGTCTTCAGTTAGGCTAGGTTTGATCCAGCTACGCTGAGGTCTATGGTTTTTTTCACGAAAATTGGCTTCAAACTGTATATTTATCACCTGGCTAGCAGATGCCAGGTAATTTCAGGTACATGAACCAAAGAGATTTTACTCTGAAGCTGGATACAGTTGTGTCAGATAGATATCAACATTACTACTTATTACTTCATGAAATGAAATACACCTTATTTTTATTCCCAGAGTGGTATCCAAAAACTCACAAATGTATATAAGCATCAACTGGCTCTGCCATTCATTCTTGTTCTCTTCTAATCTGCACGGTAAAGGCATAAATTCAGTTATACCAATAGTTATGCCAAATTTCAAAAAATCAGAGCACACTTGCCAAATGTATTGTTCCAGGTGCACAAAAGTATCTTAACAATTTTCAGTAAATCTCACAAGTGTTTAACTCTAAAATAAATAATTGTCGAACAAGCTGTCTCTGGATTAAAGTGTGCTAAGCCAATGTTTGGTCTCTGTTACAGGTGAAGAAGTTTGTGGAGGCTCATGGAGCTTCCATTCACCAGGCTGGAAATGGCATTCATTTTGTTGGCTTTTGTTATCTTTTCCTTATTTACTCTGGCTTCCATCTACACTAACCCAGACGAGAGGAATGAAGGTAAGAAGAGAAAGCTCTTTGAGGCTAGTCTCTATTTCTTTTGCTTTCCAATCATCTTTTTGTATGGTTTGATTGGTTTGGTGTCTATTCTGCGTGTGAGGATGAGTTTGTTTTGGGATGTGGCGTGTGCATGTGAGAAAAAGAGAGAGAGAATTTCTTACTAAGTAGCATAAAAAAACTTGTGGCACTTTACCACTATTTAAAAGGGTTAAAAGGAAAATGGAAATGGAAAAAATCATCACATGACTTCTGATCCCAGAATTTGGCAGATCTTATGCCTTGAACCTAATATACATGTAATGTAAAACTAATATATATACTATAAAATTAGATATTTATTTATTGATCTAATTTTAACTTTGGCCATCCTCCCATCCCTGTCCCAAATCAGAAATCTAAAATGCACAAAAAGCTCAATGTTTTAAAAAGTTTTTAAAGGTGATTTTTTTACAAGGCAAACATAAATGAGTTTATGAGAAACAAATTCCAGTATAGTATAGTAAGGAGTGTGTGCATGCATGTGCGTGTGCGTGTGTGTGTGTGTGTGTATTCAACTATACATGAGAAGGAAAAGGATTCGAGTTTTTTCTAATGATTTCTTGTCAAAGCCCAAACATTAGAAAAATAGAAGTATTTTAAAAATTCAACACCGCATGTTCACCTACTGCCAATAATAGCAATTGTTAGCAACAGAGTGTATAATTTAAATGGTTGTGCTTGGTATTTCACCATAGTTCAAGGCTCAATACAAAATTGATGGTAACTGGCCATTTTTAAAGCCAAAAATTTTACATATTATATATATATATATATATAATATATATATATATATATTATGCCAGGAAATTTACACATTTGTAGAGATTAAGAGAAAAATCATAAAAAGAAAATGGTGTTTCCTACAATTGTGATACCTCTCCATCAATTTTTGATTCTAAAAGAAGTTCTCTCAGTGAAACAAAATATTATTCTTTGTCTTGACGTATAACACTGATAGAAGGAGAAAACAAAAGTCACAGTGACTAGACAGTCCAATTCATACTGACATGCGGATTAGGAAACAAAGCTGGAGTCCATAAGTCTTTTCCTGCTCCACCCTTAAACCTAAGAGATGGAGCCCTCTGTTTTCAACCTCCTACTTGAGACCTAAGTTTTCAACCTCTAATTTGCATCCAAATCACCTAGAGATTTTATGAAAAAGTATACTTTTATTCAGTAGGTCCGGGTGGAGGCCAGGTAATGACAACACTCTAGAAGATAAGTCAAGCCACTAAAGCACACGTTCCTAGCCCCAGGTGGTCTAGGTCATCTATATGCAGCAGGTGAGGAGAGAGCTTGGGTATGTGGCTGGGCTGCCCACATGCCTGTAAACCAGGCCCTCCATAGCACAGGATGGATACAAAGGCAGGAAGAGAAGAGAGCAGAGACCACACTCTACTCTTGCCTCAGCTCCTCCTACAAATGTCAGGAATGGGTGAGCTTATATTTAAGAAAATATTTTTATATTTATATTTAGAAGATTCATAGTCATTCCTTAAAAATCAAAGTATTTTAGTGTTACAAGATTCCTGCAACTCTTAATAGTTTATGAATCCACTGTCTCATTTGTAATTAGCATTCTCTTTCTCTATGCCTTTTTATAAGGAAACAGTTAAGACAACTTGCTTTGTTAAAAGAAGGTGTAAAGTATGACAAAGCCCTTAGATATTTCAGGAAAATTTATTTGTTGAGAAACTGACCAGTAACCCACGTTTCTGTTCTTGTTACCATAAGGAGTCCTCCACATAAAACTTTTCAAACACTGTCAATTCAACAATCTTCTCACTGGAAGGAAAGGTCTGGCTATTTTGGTCTCTACCTGAATTTACAAAGATTATCTACCTTTGACTGCTTAGAGGTATTTAGGAATGTTGCTTTCATTCTGGACCATAACATATGTTTTAAATTGTAAACTGAAAACTTAAAATATAGCTCTTACTTGTACATTGAATCCAAAAAAGAACAGAATTTAGTCACTGTAGAAAATCATGAAGCCCCAAAGAAATCTTCTTGCTTGTTCAAGGAAGCTTCACCTAACACCACCTTGATCAAAAGTCCCCTGTGGACTTCAAAACCACACTAACATATTCTAGCATTACATACACATCTAAAATTCATCATCCCAAGATCATTACTGTTTTCCTTTGAGATTCATAAGTACCTACTTCACTGCTATATTGTCTTTAAAATAATAAAATAAAATATGTGTAGCTTCGTGATTATAGAATTAATTTACAAGGTGCCTTTCCAAAGATATTTTAAGAGTCCACTCAACCTGGAAAAAAAATTGTTGTCTCATTTTGATGACTTAAAAATTGAGAAAAATAAAAGTTACATCATAAGATTGGAATTCAGAATGAGATAGAGCTTTTTTTTCCCAGTCCAGGACACTGTTTACCAGACTACCGGGTCTCATTGTCAGCATAAAAAACAATGATGATGGGGCGCCTGGGTGGCTCAGTCATTAAGCATCTGCCTTCGGCTCAGGTCATGATCCCAGGGTCCTGGGATTGAGCCCCACATTGGGCTCCCCACTTTGCGGGAAGCCTGCTTCTCCCTTTCCCACTCCCCCTGTTTGTGTTCCCTCTCTCCCTGTCTCCCTCTGTCAAATAAATAAATAAAATCTTTAAAAAAAACTTAAAAATGAAAAACAATGATGATGACAATGTTTACTAGGCATTTTCCATGTAAAAGGCAGGATGCTAAGTGCTTTAGGTGTATTATTTCCCTTAATCTTAAAACAACCCTACGAGATAAGTAATAATAACCTCACTATTTTACAAGTGAGGACACTGACGTTTAAACCTTAATCTTAGATCACTCAGCTAATAAGCGACAGAGCCAAAGTGGAACTCTGTTTATAGGACTTGAAAACCTGTATATGTAACCAACATACTTCCTTTCCAGATTACCTTGAAAAAGATACTTGCTTTAAAAAAAAAAAAAAAAAAAGGAAGAAGAGGGATGCCTGGGTGGCTCATTCAGTTAAGCAGCTGCCTTCGGCTCAGGTCATGATCCTGGGGTCCTGGGATTGAGCCCCACGTCTGGCTCCCTGCTCAGTGGAGAGCCTGCTTCTCCCTCTCCCTCTGCCTGCCACTCTGCCTACTTGTGCTCTCTCCTTCTCTCTCTGTCAAATAAATAAATAAAATCTTTAAAAGAAGAAGAAGAAGGAGAAGAAAGAAAAAGAAAGAAAGAAAGAAAGAAAGAAAGAAAGAAAGAAAGAAAGAAAGAAAGAAAGAAAGAAAGAAAGAAGAAAGAAAGAAAGAAAGAAAAAAGTATAAGTATACCTCTCTTTATTTCTCCAAAGGAGTTTAATTGGCTAAAAATATATAACAAGATAAAACTACATTTCCAATAAGTAAAGAAGGGAACCTAGACAAAGAGAAAAGTAAGGGTGGAAAGCAGAAATGGGTGGGGTGGTGAGGAGAAGCCTGGCATACCATTTCAGCAAAGAGTACAAACTGCGCTCTTAAACATTCCTTCATTCATGTCCTGGCTCTGCCATTTGGTGACTCTGTGACTGAGGGCAAATGACACAAATTCTCAAAGCCCCCATTTTGTCATCTGGGTACTGGGGATGGTAATAACACCAGCCTCATAGAGTTGGAGTGAGAACTTCATGAAATAAAGCATATAAAACACAGAGGGGTGCCTGTTATTGGAGTTTTCTCATTTGACGTCTTCATAATTAGGAATTTAGATACAACAATGGGGGTCTTTATAAAGCAAATGAAAATATTTACTACAGAACCCAAACGATGTTTTTTTTAAAAGATTTTATTTATTTATTTGACAGAGAGAGAGACACAGCGAGAGAGAGAGAGCACAAGCAGGGAGAGTGGGAGAGGGAGAAGCAGACTTCCCGCCGAGCAAGGAGCCCGATGCAGGGCTCGATCCCAGGACCCTGGGATCATGACCTGAGCCAAAGGCAGATGCTTATGACTAAGCCACCCAGGTGCCCCAACAATTTGTATTCATATAAACCATCCACCTCCTGGGTAAATATCTTTCTTTTAAATATCCAACCATACAATACATCCAATATAAATCAACTACCTACCAAAGATATAAACCTGATGTAAGGGAAGGGTAAGCGAAACTGGAATTGCTCAGGCAAAGTCATTGACAAATGAACATTTGATTGAATTAGATCTAGCAAATGAAAAAGGGGAGGGTACACAGGCATTTCAAAAAAGAATAAAAGGAATATGAAAGAACCAAAAGACATTTCAGAAAATTGATGAAGCCTTGAATATTTTTTCACAAATGATACCCTCTATAGAATTGTCCTATGAAAATGGCAGAGAAGAGTATTGTACGGAGCGATGGTACCAGTGTGTCAGAAAAGTAATGCCCCCAAATCAACATCTCATCCATTCTTTGTTCTAAAATTAGCTGGAATACAAATTGCATTCTATTAAATGAGACAATACATTTATTTTTATAATTTTAAGTTTTGTTTTTCAAGATAGAGGTCCATTCAAACTTTTTTTAAAGTTTATCTTCTATTAAATTTTGTCCTGAGGGATGCCTGGCTGGCTCAGATGGTTAAGCATCTGCTTTCCGCTCAGGTCATGAACCCAGGGTCCTGGGATCGAGCCCCGCATCGGGCTCCCTGCTCTGCAGGGAGCCTGCTTCTCCCTCTCCCTCTGCCCCCCCACCATATTCTGTTTCTGGCTCTGCTCTCTCTCTAACAAATAAATAAAAATCTTTTTTAAAAAAAATTTTGCCCTGAAAGTAGATTCACTTTAAATGAACTTTTCCAGTACCCATTATTCTCCAATTAAAAAGAAGTTTCCTGTTACAGAAGTATATGCTCAATGATGTTAGCCCCCATCAGTTACCATCCAAGAAATTAGCTGGATACATGCTGTCAAGTTATCTACTTGTAGGGAGTAGGTCAGACTTTGGGTCCTATGCTTTCTTTAAAGCCAACCCAGAAGAGAAAACTGACAATGTCAATGTTTACCTGAGCTCTGTGCTTCTGGAAAACAGCTCTCGTTAAGAAATCTCCCCAACTTTTGTTTTCCAAAATCCCCTGACTCCTGTGTTCTGGGAAATGGCTTACCACAAAGAACGACCTTTCCCCATATGACATAGATAAGACTGTCCACTCTTTCTCATGACTTCTATAAGACTCTCCATGACTCCTTTGTTTACCTGTGACAGAGCCAAACATAGACCTTTCCCCTTTTGCCTGAACCTGCTGACAAGCACAGACACAGACCTTCCAACTCCCTGTTCTTAGTCTCACGAATGATTTAGCTGAGATTAGAACTGTTTGTCTTCCTGAAGCTAGCGAGGCATAGAGATCAGCATTTCCTGCACGGCTAACTGACAGACTGTCTTTGATTACAAAACAATTCCAACCGTAAAGCACTCACTTGCAACTTTTCTACTCTTCCCTCTAGTTGTCTAAGGTAAAATCACCTTGCCGAGACCATCAACTTCAGACCTGGGGTGTATTCTCTACTTCCATAGCCTGAATAATATCTGTATCTTTACTTTTTTGAGTTTTGTCTTTGAGAAAACACAATCTTGTCCCTACATATGATAATCTGATATGTATATGATAAAAATAAATTACACAGTGGCTATCAGAAATACAACTATTTCTGGGATGGAGAAAGAAACTAAAAGAAGTAGTGTTCACTAGTAAGAACCTCATTGGGGTCTCTAGCTCAGTGGTTTTGAACTTTTTTTTTTAAAGATTTTATTTATTTATTTGACAGAGATAGAGACAGCGAGAGAGAGAGAGAACACAAGCAGGGAGAGTGGAAGAGGGAGAAGCAGGCTTCCCGCGGAGCAGGGAGCCCGATGCGGGGCTCGATTCCAGGACCCTGGGATCATGACCTGAGCAGAAGGCAGTTCCTGAACTAACGTTCAGGAGCCCTGAACTTTTTTTGACTGAAATCCACTTCCAGATCTGTTTGTACCCAGACACACACACTCGTCCACATGCTTACAACTGAAATGAAAGTTTTATAAAATAATACTTCCCCTCACCCCAGGCAACAAACTTTAATGCTTTGTGTTGTGTTATCTTTGTCTTCTTTTCTTTTTAATACTGATGGCAGTCCACCTTTGTGGTTTTTTTAAAGATTTTTATTTATTTATTCGACAGAGAGAGAGATAGTGAGAGCAGGAACACAAGCAGGGGGAGTGGGAGAGGGAGAAGCAGGCTCCCGGCTGAGCAAGTAGACTGATGTGGGGCTCGATCCCAGGACCCTGGGACCATGACCTGAGCCGAAGGCAGACGCTTAACGACTGAGCCACCCAGGCGCCCCAACTGATGGCAGTCCTCCTAATAGACTACATGACCCATTAAATTTCATTAAGTTTTAATCATTTCTAAATTCTAAATTCAGGCAATAGCAGCAAATACAGCTGGGAAGACAATTTTCACAAACTACAGGTTAATCCCCCAGGCAAAAACCTTCACTAATTTACCACTGTCTAGAAAATAAAGTAAAAATTCCCAAAGCTCCTGGGATTCTTCCGAGTGGGATATTTCCACTTACCTACTAATAATGCACTCCTCTTCTACCTGAATCTTATTTATTCTTTAAGGCCAAATTCATTTCCTCTCTTCTATAATCACTCTAACCCAAAATTAGTTCCTTTAGCACCTCTGTTACAGATCACTAATTTAGCATTTATCTCTATCACCTTGTATTATTAAGTATCTTTGCTGTATAAGAAGTGCAACCACAACATAATGAGAAGGAGCTCCATAATTTGTTTCTGGAATTGACTGGTCATTCAACACATAAACTTTTATTTCATACCATTTACAAGAAGACACTTTGCTAGGCACAGGGTAAGAACGACAAATTACCAAATCACCAGTCTTGCCCTTAAACTCCAGAGTTTTATAGGAGAGATGAAGTAGGTAGATAAAAATACAAAACAATTTTGTTCACATCAAAATAAAATTCTTCATCTCTATATGAAGGCTTTCCTTAAAAAGTCAAAAAATAAGACAGTAAACCACCAAAAGAAGTGTTTTAAAGAAAATAAGAGAGGCCACTTTGCGTGTCCCCTGGTATATAAACTCTGTAACACAGAGATTTGGTCTGTCTTAGTCATTGCTTCATCCCAGCACTTACAACACTGCCTGGGACAGAAGAGGCTCTCAGTAACTCTCTCTGAATGGTTAATAAATAATACCTGCATCTTGGGGTACCTGGGTGGCTCAGTCGATTAAGAGTCTGCCTTTGGCTCAGGTCACCATTTCGAGGTCCTGGGATCAAGTCCCGCTCTCTGGGCTCCCTGCTCAGCAGGGAGTCTGCTTCTCCCTCTTCCTCTGCCCCTCCTCTTTGCTCATGCTCTCTCTCTCTCAAATAAATAAATAAAAATTTAAATAATAATAACAATAATAATACCTGCAGCTTATTTAGACAAGCTCAACATAAGTTCCAAATATTATTAGCAGAGGACATTGTTTTTCTCGCTCATTCTATAACTCCTTCTATTGCTGCTATTACTACTAATAGCTCAGACTGTTGCATGTATATTCATGATTTAATCTTCACATTCAATTTATGAGGCAGATCCTTCTACTATATTGTATCTAAAATCCTCAAAGACTGCCCACTGGAATCCAGTCCATAAAATCCAATGGGCTTGTAAATGGGCAGAACGGCCATGATGTGTGCAAAGTTAATACCCGCACTATTTATAAACCTCCTGGAAACCCCGTGACAGGCAGCACAAACGACTTCAGAATAACACAACTCACTCTAGAGAGGCTCTTCATGACAGTACTCAAGGTACAGTTGATCCCCCTTTGTGACAGTCAGGCTTGATAGCCATGAATTGAAACCAAATTCCAACCTCAGTCAAATAAAACCTAGCGAGGAGGAGTATGCCGCCTGGACAGAAGGAAGCGTGTGATGTGTACCACAGCCAGATAGAAATGCTTTCATGGATTTCCCTTTTTTGTATCATCCAGACCGCTGCTTCCTTTTAGTTTCTTGAATTATGAAGAATTGTTTTCCATCCACGTCATTGTTCTTCCCTTTTATGCTGGACACCATGAAGCTACAGTATCAGTTTAGAAGAGGCTGGTGTCCGGCCTCTTTGTATCTTTAGAGACTTTGTATCTTTAGAGACTAGCACACTGTGACGCAGCCAGGCTGTTTCCTGCCTGAATGACATTGTTGCCCACCTGCTCACCAGGCCCTGTCTTTGAAAGCTCTCTGGTCTAATGAG